AAGACGCTCAGCACCTTCTGCAAACGCGATTTTCGTTTAGCCCCCTCCCCACGATCTCTTCACGCCGGCCAGCCTGTGCCTCTGTTAAGGGCCGTTTCCAAATGCCATACTGCCACCCACGTCCTTCCAAAGGAGGAGGAATCACTTTAAAAAAAAAAAAGAAAGGAAAAAAAGGAAAAAAAATCAACTTAAAATCAGTCCCAAGTCGTGGTGGCTGTGGGATGATAAGGCTTGCAGTTAACAAGAGGGCTGATATTTTGCAAAATAAATAAATAGCTGAAGACAGAGCAGGTGGATTCTTAACAACAAAGAAGTAAAACCACCTTACTTCTCACCTCTTCCAGCCCCTGCCACCCCACCTGTGCTTTCGATTCATTCCCCCGAGCGTGTTGGGGGACGGTTCTCACTGGAAATGTCTTTAGACAGAAATGAACTGCAGAGTACCAAAATAAAAATAATAATAAAAAAAAAAAATCCAGTTTTTTTCCACGGAAGGTACCTCCGCTTGTGCCGGCTTTGCTTCAAAGAGACAGCTCCTAACCTCAATTGCCCTCCCGCCACCGTAATGCCGGTCCTGCCCTACGGTGACCGAGCGAGAGACGCGCTGCAGAGCTCAGGCAGGGTCCGACGAGAGATCAGGCGCACCCTCCCATCTCCCCCAGCAAAACTTCTTTCAACAGAAGCAATAGAAAGCTCCGTTTCTTATGAACTAGCAGTATTTTACAGGTCTCCTCTAGGAAAAGATAGAGATAGGGTGTCAAGGCCACGGCCACGTTGCAAACGGGAGTGCTGGTGGGTGAGGAACCCCAAGTGTAGGACACATCAAAAAAAACCCAAACCCCAACAAAGGGAGAGGGCTTGCGGAAAGCCCTCTTTACAGAACAAATGCCGCACGCTGATTACGAGGCAAAATTAAAGCAGACTCTGCAAAAAAAGAAGTTACGTGCACAAATAAAACCAGCGACTGATGAGCAAAAACCATCCAGGACAATCCTTCCCGTCACCGAGTGCGACGCTGGGGCTCAGCTGACCCGCTGCAGCTTCTGCCAACGCTGCAAAACCACACCGCAAATCTGGCCGGTTTGCCCCCGATTTCGCTGTTACCCCCTACAGATTTGGAATTTCTTTTATTAAAACCCGCAAGGCAGGTATCGACATCCCAAGCCGCAGTACACCGCTGTCCTCCAGAAAGCAAAATACAGTAACTGCGAAGTGATTCCTGGTTCAGTGTGTCAGGCAGGAAAGCGCTGCAGAGTGAGACACCCTGGGAAGAGTCTTCCCGCTTCCCTGTTTACCAAACCGGGCAGAAAACAAAATAATTTAATCATCCAGCCCCTGCACAGTTTAAAAGTACAACATATATACAGCTATAAATTAATTCTAAATAGATTATATTTCCTTTTTTTTTTTTTTAAAGTTTTCTTTTGTCACCAAATCGTCCGATTCCTCTCTCCGTCGGCAGTGACCAGCGCACTCGCGAAGGCTCTCCTTCTGCTTCGTGGCTTCTGCGGTTAGTTTGTGTTATTTTACACTCTACACGTCTGTTCTCGGGGTTGTGGGATCCCAGGAGCAACAAGACTGTTGCACGCTAGCGGTGTCAGAAGGGAAGGCGCAAGATGGGCAGCTTGATTTCCTGTCCTAATCGCTGCCCGAGAACGGAGGTCGAACGGCGGAGACAGGCAGAGAGAAGAAAAGAGGGCAGTTGTGCGTTGCTAATTCTCCAATTCTGTTTTTTAAGATAAGGTTTGATTTTTTTTTTTTTTTTTTTAACAGCAAGTCTGTCACCTCGGCTCAGTGCACTTCACCAAAAGTCTTCAGGCATTTCAAGAGTCTGGGAACAAAAGCAGTAGCGGTGTCAGTCTCCGGACAATCGCACGTCACCGTACCTCCCCCTTTTCCTTCCCCCCCCGCCGCTCGCCACATTACAGGCAGCAGCTTTTTCAGTCGCACTATTGCCATCCCCAGCGGGCTCGCTGGCTACGAGCGGCTCTCTTCTCAGACCACGGGTACAGAGAGGGAATTCAAAAAAAGCAGGTAATTAATGCCGGTCGATCGTGAAAGAAGAGGTGCAATTATCAAAACACGAGAGGGGGTGTATCAAGATAAGAAAGGTTCCAAAAACAGGATACACCCAAAAAAAAGGCCAAAGGCGACCCAGAGGATTTGCTTTAAAGGCCAAACTCTCAGACGCGTTCCCTTCGCCGAGGAAAATAAAAACCAAACAAATACTCCCCTGCCAAACCTCCTTACTTGTGCCTACAAATCCAGCAGCTAGACGTCCAATGCCCTCAAGAAGTCTTTGCAAGCCTACATGGTGTCCGAACAACTAACACTTGGTACAAGCTTCACCTCCGATTTCTTTTCTATAGAAATCCCATTTTCAACTAATTTTGTGGTAGGAGGGACCTGTATGTTTTACAGCCATCCCAGCAGTAGCTGGTAGGTGAAATCAGCCCAGATAATTAAGCAGAAAAAGGACTCTCAACTCCGTGCCAGGTTTTTTTTCATTATTTTCGTGCAGTTCTCCTGTGACCCAGCACACCTGATCTCAAGCACACTATCTGGGCTCGCCTTAATGCAAGCTCTCCAACCCCTGGGTCTTCCAGACTCCCTCTCAGCTGTTTTTACTTCGATTCTCAGTTCAACCCAGTAAGTCACTTCTACGACCTGCCGCGAACTCCGGCCATTTGCTTTGTTCTCCGTGAGTGTCCTGGGAAGGCAATGGGGCAGGGGGCAAGGAACACCTGTTTAGTAAGAGTCTGTTCCCTATCATCATATTGCTTCAAGTGCCAGGGGATAACAGCTTTTTCAGTAAAACAGACAATAAAGCAACCAAAAAAAAAGGTTCATTAAAACTGGCTGGCTGCCACGGCCGGTAAAAAACTTTCAACCCGCCGAGGCGCGCACAGCCGCCGTATTGAATGCGCAGTTGACGAGGCCTCAGCTGAGTCGCCAACGTGCCTGGGGCTTTTGCTCTGTTCCTAGAGACCCAACACTTGGCAGTGCCAGTGAAAACAGGGAGCTTGGAGAGAGCCGAGGGTGCTGACATGCAAACTAAACAAAATCAATTTCCCAATTAACGAGTCTACGCTTGACGGAAGGGAGTGCTTCCCCCCGTGACGTGTGTACATCCAGAGGAGACTCGTGAAGATCTGTGTCTCAAACAGAGATTTAAGTATTAAAAGCACTATCGTGCCCTGCTCCGCTGCCCGGGGAAGTGTCACCGGCTCCCCTTTACTGCTC